TACCCCTCTTCCCTTTCGACTTGTTAACCAGTGATCGGCCCCGTCCCGTCCTTCACAGATTTCAGCATTGTTTCATGATTTTTGGCAGCCGGGACGTTGCCTACTAGAGGGAGGGGATAGTGTTACGGACTCCGCCAGGGCTCGATCCCTGGTCTATCTTTTGCTGTTTCAGCTGCATCCCGTTTTCGGCCTGGCACCCTTTTTCCAAACCATAGGATTTTGGACAACTGGCGCCATGCTGCAATTCGGGCGCCACTTTCAAATACTGCATTTTTCAGTTCTGCCCTCGGGGCCTTTGCAGAAATGCCCCTAGTACCGTACGTGTCACCGGTACTTATACCGGCTCCCCATACGGTACGGGCACCAGTCTCGTACCAGTTCTCGGCTGCTGTACTCGTACTCAGTGTGACTTGCTGTTTCGGCATTCGGAATCCAAGTCTTCGACTTTGTGACTTGCCCCTGTGTCTGCGTCCGATCCTCAGTCCGAGTCAGTCGTGTCGAGTGAGTGAGTGTGTGTGTGTGTGCTCTCCCTCTCTCCCTCTCTCTCCTCTCCCTCGGCTCACCCTCAGCCTCACGCTCGTTACACCTTTAGCAGTCCGCCATAGCCTTGGCATGTGAGAGGAGGAAGAGGGGGGGAGCCATGGCTATGGTGGACCAGTTGTTGTGCTGGTAGTAAGACGGAGCTTCGGATATTGATTCTGGATGATCCACTCATTGTTATTATTATTATTTGGAAAAAGAATCAGATTGGCGAAGATAAGGAGGAGGAAGGTGGAGAGAAGGGGGATTTGTCGTTGGTCGTGCTGGTGTACATCTTCTTCTTCTTCTTCTCTCTCTTTTCTTCTTTGGTCTCCATCTCTTTGCAAGTGCTTTCATTTCTTTCGCAATTGGGTGGCATTGTCTTTCCTTGTGAGTTTACACTTCAGAAATGACCATTGTCTTTCCTTGTGAATGTACACTTTGGAAATGACTAGGATCGTAACACTTGGCAAATGTAGTCGTACAGGATCGAGCGCATGCACATCATCCGATGACCATTTGGAAATCGTCTTAGGGGAAACCTGTTAATGAATGAACGAACGAATGAATGAACTGAATGAACAAAGCGATCCAACATGCACACTTCAACCTCCAGGTCCTCCACACATTTTATCTGACTATCTTGAGGTCACAAGCCATGATTTCAACCCACCTGTGCAGACTTCAATATATTGACTGATGCTCTGCTCATGCATTGAATCATTCAAGGGCAATGTGTGTGGACTCAGAAGGATCATAGCTCCACTACACAGCACACTAAATGGATCTGGACCGGTCAGAGGTCCAGTACATTCTACATGTCCAATCAGTCCAAAAGTATCTGGCCAAGATAGGAATCCAAACCATACAGACGAAGACAAGGGAGTGCGAAACAGACTGATGCAGGGGATCCTAGCAAGCTCTAGCCACATGCACCTCACATTGCAAGTGTGTCTTTGCAGCGGGGGACTTTGCCTTCGTGCACTGCGCAGTATCCGGCCGAAAGACGGAAGAAAAAAGAGATTCTCCATGGAGGAACTTAAGGCACTTCTTATGGCAGTTGTGCACAACGCATCTTTCAACCTAATGACCCCAACAGCTGCCACTGCCAGCACTGGCTAATCTACCAGTACAAAGGCACTCACACCCCACATATACCAGCTCACGAACAAACTCCAGATGAGCAATGGCGTAGATCTTGGACTTCATACAAAGACAGTCACACCCCACCCTATAGCCAACGCTGCAGGTTCACGGAGGTACACATCTCATGTTTATTCGATGAGTGACAAAAAAAAGAGGCCATTTGTGGGGAATATTCTACATCTTGCCAGAGTTACACACCACAGGATCACCGGCACTACCCCAGCTGCTGCAACTGTCTGATATTCTCTTTGTGATACCTAACTGTATTATGACAGTTGCTGCCACATTAATCAACCCAAGGGTCAGCATAGCCACTGCCAGTACGTTCCATGGGACCACAGAATATAGTCACTCCTGACAAGCAATTGCTGCCACATTAATCAACCCAACGGTCAGCATACTCACTCAACATATGTTCCATGAAACTGCAGAATATAACCACTCCGGACGAGCAATAATACAGTCCTCGCGCTATTGCGACTCCTAGTGATCTTCCACCTGATACTACAAAGACAACCAGATGGTTGTTCGAGGCGCCTGAGAATTATCATGAAGGTCGATCTTTGGTGTGCCCTGGTGATTCAAAAGGTGGTCTTGTGTCTTTTACCAATATACCGGTACTATGAAGATTTAGCAAGGGAGGGAAGATGCAACCCGATCAAGCATGTAAAAAGGGGCCGGAGTACGCCGAGAGTTTTAAGTTAAGATGTTATAACGCAGCAGAGAAGCTGTAACCTAATCCTCATGGAGCAGCCCTTCCAGTACACAGTATTGAGCTTATGGACAACTTCACATCAGTGAGGTCGGATGGCTGAGACAATTAGTGTTGTTCTTCCATCTGGGTATCAACTTCAGACACTGAGCGCAGGCGGAAAGGTGCGACCTTAGTCTTAGGGCCTGCTCCTCCCTGTACATAGCACCCAGGATCGATCCTCCCAGTGTGAAGTAGCAAGGAAGTGGTCGCCTTCACCTTGGTAGCCTGAGCAGTACGAGGTAGATCGGCTAGAATGGATACTGTCGTTTTCCCGCCTGGGGCTCCAGGCCAGGTGTGCGCGATGTAATGCCTCCTGGAGGTGGTTGCATCGAGTTGTTACCGGAATCACAATAGCAAGAACTGCAGGGATCACGCAACAAGATGGGGCAGGAACTAGACACACAAGTCAACAGGGGTTGATGAGGCCCGAGAGTGTGAAGCAGGTCGTCAAGATCGACCAGACCTATTGCATAAGCACGCTGTTGCATGTGAGCATGAATGGAAGATTCAAGATGTGATCGTGATCACTGAAAGCTATGGAAGAAGATGGGAGGGAGGCGGTATTACCTTCTCCATTCTGAACACACTGTAGGGTGGGAATTACTTTCTGAAATTGAAGTTAAAGAGGAATTGCCTCCAACCCAACTAATTGTGCACGCGAACATTACCTCCGTCACTGGTCAAAACATGTGTAGTGAGGAGGGGAAGAGTGTTACCTTCTTTGCTCAGCACATGTTGGGGAGTCTTCAGTAAGGCAGGCATCGCAGCCTTCAGGCAAGATGCATGTGCTGAGTCACTATCAAGGACACGGGTTCTCCCGATTTGAAGACGTGCACGCGTTGGTAGGTGGGTACTAGGAGAGCGCTATGTATTGCATCCCGCCATGACGTTCTCTGTAGGACATAGGTATAGGAGAGCGCTATACACATCCCTCCATCAAAACACTAGGAGAGCGCTATGTATTGCATCCCGCCTGAAGGGTGAAGTGCACGGATTTGGCGCAGAGAAGGTTTGAGAAAGATAAGACCTTTCGGCAAGGCTATTCTCCCATGGCAGCTGAGAAGGTAGGAGAGGGATTGTACATGGATCCCACCTCCAAAAGCCCGAGACAAGCATGGACTCGTAAATTAAGCCGCCAGTACACGGCCCCAGCCTTGCAAGATTTGTTCATCACCTACTCCTTAAATTTCGGAGGCTTGGGGCTCCTGGACCACAGTGGTGGGCGGAGCCATCCAAAACTGAAAACAAGTGCATCACTGGTGGTTCGACAAAGCTTGGCACACAGAGCGCGCCGCCAGGCCCGGGTGTACTGGTGGTTTAATTCACGATGACCTCGATCTCCAATGTTGATGCCCAGAAACACTACAGTGATTCTCTCAGGCCATACTCACAGTCTCACACCATCTCTTCCCTGAATGTTTGTGTTCAATTGCCAAACCTGGATGCATGTGATCGCAATCCTGTCCGCAGCGTTGTCGAAGAAGTTCTAGTGTGAGTATGCCCTCAGTGTCATTAGGAATCAGTATCCAGTTAAACCAGTTGCTCTAATCAGATGCTATTACTGCCCAGCCCATCATTTCAGAGAAACCCCAAGTGATCCAAAAGGACAGACCGTGATGGACAATAGGTCATTGATGCTCAGGAGCTCGACCTTCCAATATGTCTCTCAACCCTGCTGCTTGTAGAACTTGGCTCTCCAATGTCCAGTGCTGTCTGAAAACCTTAGACTCCTTTCACCCCCTCTCCACCCCCATGTCCAATTGTCTCAACAAATTAGGTGGTGTACATTACCAATCATAAAGTAACCAGGCATCCAGCAATTAAAGTAACTTCCAACAACTTTCAATGCTGAAGCTTGTCAGCTTTGTTGTGCCTTCTTTACGATCTGGTCTGCAACTTCCGTTTGTCTTTTGTTTTCAGGGGGGGGAGGTGGGCCTTCCAATTCACCCTCAGTTGGCATGCTTACCAAATTGCAAGCATCTGCAGCAAAGCTGAGAGGAGGATCTAGAGTACATAAAACTCTGTGCATGGCCAAGGTCCGTCAATGGCATTAAACCACAATTACTTCTGAGATAAATTTTGACCGTTCCCCCTTGCTGGGCCTGGAAACACCCTGCGCACCAAAAAACATAAAACTGGCACGGGCCTTCTTTTGGCTGGTGCCGCTAGCCATTTGGCCCTGGTAGGCTGACCCCCGAAACTTGTGGCCGCATGCATACCGCGTCGGAGAAAAATGGCTGGGAAATGTATTGGTGGTTTAAGCACACCCATTCCCATGTGTGAGGAGTGTCATCTCGAAAAACGAGGACAAGCTCGTTGATGAAGGCAGTGATCAAGCCGCATTTCAACGGGCACGCAAGGGTGGCAGTCGATTCAGAAAGTGATTAGTAGTCTCATTAAATCAACAAGGGTGTCATTTCAAAAGTTGTGAACACACTACAGCAGGCATTTTTCCTTCAAAAATGATTGGAATGGTTTCGCTCAACAAACGATGAAAGTTCAGTCTCATCGACCTATCAGTACGCATCCCGGCTATCGTACACGCACCGGCTGGGTAAAAACCGTGGATCAAAATGGCTGGCTACGCCTGGCACGCCTTGTCCTTGCAACAGTTCGGAATGTGGGCAGGAGGGCAAAATTTGCATCGGGAAAAGAGGCATGGGAGCAACTGCTGGTTTAACTCTGCACGGTCTCATTTCTAAAAGGTTAGAACGTACGACTGTAGGCATCTTTTTCGCTGAGAGCAAATGGAGAGGTCTTCTCCCTCGAGTGAGATCCTATCTAATGAAGCCAGATAGGAGGGTGTCCTTAGCGGGACGACAGAATCGGTATCGCGCTGGAAGCGTGCTTCAAAGAGGACGAAGCATATCGCCACACAGTGGAATAGCATTCGCCTTGTGGTGATACAGCATTCCGAGCAACAGACAAGTGTACCAGCAGGTAGCACCAGCAGTTCAAGCCCCGACTGACCAAAAATTGCGGCCACAGACAAGCAGGGCAAGGTTCGCATGCCTTCAACTCCTACTCGATGAGAAAAATCACTGTCAATGTCACGGAATGGTGGTGTAAACAAGCAAAAGAAACATATTGAGGACAGCCTACAAAGCATATTACATGGCCATTTATTCCCTAGCACCTACGCTTCTGGAGGCTACTGATTGTCTTCTACCTAATCATTATACCTACTCTTATTCTCCTCCTAACATGCTGCCCTAAACTTGTTGACATTTCATCAGACAACTTCTATGAAATGCCATGGCAATTACACATTTTTTACTGCAACAGTGTCTTACTGCTCATAGCCACTGCCATGCTTGACAGAGCCTATCTGAAAGCACAGATTGGATGCCAGCTTGTACAGATATCAAACCATGAACAAGGTCCAACAACACAATGCCACATGAAGATAGAGCACTGCCAACTGACAACCTGAGTGAGAATTCGGCCCTTTACAAAGTAGACACCAGATTGAGACCGTGTTGGAGGCTTCCTTGAGGCGCGTGAACTGCAGGACATCACTGCTCTCCTCTCTTCAGTCCCTCAGCGAACACACCATTGTGGCCAGCCAATCTATTAGATAAAACAACAGCACAACCCAAACAACATCCCAACTGCCAACAGAGTGTAAAACACGTGAAACAACAGCACTACTCCCCATTGTCCCCTTTGCGCCATCTCTCTCTCTCTCTCTCTCTCTCTCTCTCTCTCGTTTTGTTTATATGTGTGTTCGTTAAGGAACTCCAAAAGACCATTTTTCTATTTTTTCTTCCAGCGCGGGCGGGCAAAAGAGAGAGAGAGAGAGAGAGAGAGAGAGAGAGAGAGAGATGAATAACGGGAATAGATCCATTCCCGTTTTGCATTTTGCAAAAAAGCGCGCGGGCGCGGGGCACTTGCAAAGTGCAAATCGGGAACGAATCTTCCCGCGGAACCCTTTATTCATCTCTCTCTCTCTCTCTCTCTCTCTCTCTCTCTCTCTCTCCCGCGTGCCATTCGGAAATCAAATAAGGGAATGCATCTCCTGCGAAAGTGGGAAGATTCATTCAGAGAAAAAAAAAAAGAGAGAGAGAGAGAGAGACTTTGCCGCGGCGTTCCGTGCAGGTCGCCGCCTCTCTCTCTCTCTCTCTCTCTCTCTCTGTGTCTTGCAAAGTGCACAACGGGAATGACTTTTCCCGCTTTCATGGGAACATGCATTCCTTTTCTCACTTCGAACTCTCTCTCTCTCTCACCCTCCCTCCCTCCCGCCAAAGCAGAACTTCTTTCTTTTCTTTCTTTCTTTCATTGTTTTTTTTTCCCTTCATTTTTTATGTTTGTTCCTTTTTTTTGTTCGTGCGGGATGTGTGTCATCCCGGAAACAGTGGCGCCCGGTCTTCTTGCACCGACCCGGCTTCCACTCGGGCGACCCCCTAAGGTACTGCCGCATTAACGGGTAAGCCCTGCGGCACATGTGTGGGCCAAGTATGGTTGGTTTAAGATCATCATTGATTCAGCGGCCTAGCTCAGATGATAAGGCATGCACATGACATTCGGCAGGTCATGGGTTCAATTCTAATTGGCCTCATGTACCTTCGTGGGCATGCTTGGCGGCCGCCACCTAGAATAGCCCGATGGCCCCCCCGATTGGCATTAAGCAGTCTCTGCTGATGTTCGGAGGGGGAGGGGCAATCAGGGAGGCGCAGCGACTGTCCACTCAGATGATGCTCGTCCCCTCTGCTACTGGCTGTCCTCTGGCCGGAGTCGCCTACAGCGTCATGCTCTCATCGGAGAGTATAGACAGCTGCAAGGGGTTCCCTGAAGGCAATACAAAAGCCACCTTGGCTGAGCCACCCTGTCAGATTAGGCAATTGAATTTACCTGGGCTGGTTAGTCCGATGATAATAGCTCAAGGCCATCGCCCTTTAAAAAAAACAAAAACAAAAAAAAGAATCATCATTGAACTGACAGGGCCCTGCAAATCAGAGATTTTGTATCTTCAACGACGTTGAATAAGTCATGTCCGTCTCGTCGTGGACTTCTATGATGTCTCATTTATGTGACAAATTGATTGTACAAATGAGCAGTTCATACCATGGCAACCGCGGACCCGGAGCCGGACATGTCTGGACCGAGGCCCAGACAAACGTCTGGACCGGTCCAGATGTCCGGTAATCTGTACAGGTACCGGATCGCCAGACAGGACCGGACCCGGAGAGTCTGGACTGGTTCACCCTCCTCGTCGCCGCCTCCATGTTACCTCCTCTCTCCACGTTACGTCCTCCTCGCTCCATGTTACCTCCTCTTCCCACCACGTTGCCTCCTCTCTCCACATTCCCTCCCATGTTACATCCCCCTCTCTCCACTACGTCCACGATATCTCCTCCTCCCTCCACGTCACCTTCACAACGTTCCCTCCATGTTTTCCTCGTCTACTTGATTCCTTCTTGTTGAAGAATAGCAAGAAAGCTGCCAAAAAAAAAACGTTACGAATGGATGGAGAGAGAGAGAGAGAGAGAGAGAGAGCCCATCCCTCCGCCTTCGACCCCCCTCCTTGCCCTCCCCTGCACCTTCGACCATCCTCCTCCTGCACGCCATCCCTCAATCTCCGACTCGCTATCCCTCAACCTTCGACCTTTCCCATCACTCGTCCTCCATTCCATACCTCCTTGTTCAAGAGTATCAAGAAAGCCACAAAAAAAAAACTTATGAATAACGAGAGAGAGAGAGAGAGAGAGAGAGAGAGAGAGAGAGAGAGAGAGAGAGAGAGAG